CACACACACACACACACACACAATCTGAAACCCAAGGTAGAAAGAATTAATAGCACGGTTCGATATTTTTCAAGCCACAAATTGCAACCCATTAGCAGGTCATGGGATCAATTACTAGTTCATGACCAGCATTTAAAAAAATAAATTGAACTGATGATATGCGTGCTATACTTTAAAAATGTATGTTGCCTAGTGAGACTTTAAGTTGTAAGTGTGTGTGGTCGGGGTATAAGTTTTATTTTATTTTGTAGTTTTCCTTCCCTACTATGTATTCAAGCTGAAGAACACTAGCTTAGGAGAGACAGAGGGAAATGCTTTTCAAACTTAATGTGCATATGAGTCAGCCAAGCAACTTGTAAAGATTCTGATTCAGTTGGTGTGTGGTAGAGCCTCAGATTCTCTTTCTGACAAGCTGCCTGGTGAGTCTGTTGCTGTTCGACCACATGAAGAGATAGAGTGCTAGACAGGGAATTATTTCCAGTGAAAAGACTTCAGGAAGCCCTTGAAGTCTTTCATTTGTGACTTTAAGGACCTCCAAGGAATAAAAGAAAACACGATTTACACTTCCCTTTCTGGTTCTCCCTTGTGGCTGATTGATAGAAACCCTGACCTTGCCCACTGTTCTCCAAGGTCTGTTCCCATCCAGTTCCCAAGTGCTGAATTTGAAATCAAGGGACCAGATAAACTTCAGATCACGTATTGGGAGCGCTCCTCAGTTGTTCCTAGGGCTGATCTCCAATTTCCACTGTGTCTCCTACACCTGTGTCTTTTCATACATTGCCCCCCTGAAATTAGCAGCAGAATGTTTCCTATAAAATAGGTTTTTAAGTACAGGGGCAGAAAGGGTTTTATTTATTTCAGCTATACTGACCACCACATTGTACGCATCACCTACATCCTGACCCCTGCCTTGGGCTCCTAATGTCCTTCTCTGCCTGAAAGTCCTTTTGCTGTATGCTCATCTCTTCTGCTAACCCACCCCCTTCTAATATACAGGGACATACTATCACCCTAAAACGAAGTTTTTGTTCTTTTCTTTTATGGCTTAAATGCCATCAGTGGCTTTTCATTATCTAGGCAAGCTCCCTGCTCCTGCAAAACTTGTGTGCAGCAGCTGCAAGATGTCTTCTTTCATCGTGCAACTTTGTAACTTCCCATTGCCCAGTGGTCTGGCTGTTCTAGATATCCTAACCCTGCCTACTCTTTAGGATTTAACTTAAATCTCATGTTATTTTGTAAAGCCTTTTTAAAATTTCGGAATGTATCTTTTTCCCTTTTGCTGATGCTTCATGACAGTAATGCTGAGCATACTTTGTGTCCTGGCAAGGGGCAAAACAAAAAAACAAACAAACAAACAAAAAGCCAATGCAGCATAAGATGACAGTAGAAGGCCAGAATAACCCAGAATAAACGCTGGGATATAGTCAACCCAAGTGCATGTGTGTGACCTTGGACAAGCCACTTGTCTTCTCTGAGCTTCAATTTCCTCATTAAGATAATGAGAAATGGAAACAAGGTCTCAAGGTGAGGGTACATGGTACCCCATAAGATGGTACCTTTGCCTAGTTTCTTTTTTTTAGGGATTTTTTTTTTTTTGCTTTTATTCTGTGGTTTTGTTTCTTATCTTACTCATGTTACTTGTTGGTATTGAACCATCTTTTGGATTGTCTTCTCATTTTAGAATTCTCACATGTATTTGTTTTGTCTTTCTAACTCCAGTTAGGAAGGTGCCTCATTTTCGGTTTGGAGCAAAGAGGCCCCAAGAGGGCCGCCTAACGGAGCAAACAAAGCAGAGAATCCAACCCAACTCCAGCTGGGAGGGGCCTGGGATCCAGGACACTGCCCAGCGCCCTCAGATTGAGTGCTCACTAATTATTTGTCATCTGACTGGAGGTCTGCAGGCCCTTCTAGCAGTACAACTCCTTTCTCCCCAGAACGAGGAGCCCCTTAGAGTCTGTTGGTTACCGGCGAAAAGTGCTTACTTTGGGCAAGCCCGATCCAGCTCCCGCGGGGAGCCCACATACTCCCTCACTTAGTATTTCTGAACCCCGTTCTTCGCAAGGAGAGCTGAGGGGGTTCTGGGATACTTGGAATCTGTCCCTTAGGCAGAAACTCAGCAGCCTCCAGCCGCCGCTGCCCGGGGCTGACCCTGTGGAGCGGATCCCCCACCCGCGGCCCCAACCTCCCAGCTCTGCAAAGGGAGGGGGGAAAGAGGGAGCCGCGCACAGCAGCCTTCCCGGAGCTGCAGACACGGAGCTCGGAGCCCTGGGAGCCTCTAGGCGGCTTTCCCTTGGCTGCGCGGGTGTGCAGGCTCTCCCCGCCACCCCCACCGCGACTCGCTTTCCTCGCTCCCTCCCTCCAGCCCCGCCGGCCGGAGCGCGCACACCGGGGCTCCGGCACGTGGGCGCGCGGGAGGCGGCGGCCGCTGCTGCCGCTGCCGGAGCCCAAGACCGAGCCGGCGAGATCGCCCTCCATGCTGCGGGCTCGGTGGCCGCTTTCCGCTCAGCCTCTGGCCGGAGCTCAGCTCTCCAAGCCCGCAAAGCAGGGAAGCGGAGGAGGACGCGGACAGGTGCAGGGGTACCGAGGGTTGGGGCGAGCGGGGCTGTGAGCCGGCGCGCCCGCAGCCGGGAGGAGGCGACCGGTTCGCTCCCTCGCTCTTTCGCTCGCTGGCTCACTCGCTCCTCCAGCCGCTGCTGGGGCTTCCAGGCGGCGCGATGCTGCTGCGCTCCTCCTAGGCGGCGGCCAGCCGAGGCTTCCCGGAGCGGCCAGGTCCACGCCAGTCCCCGCTCGGCGAACGAGTCTGGGTGCATCCGGGGGGCACGCGCCCGGCAGCTCCAGCCGAAGCGAGCGCCAAGTCTGAAGTCGGTCCCCAGCGCCGCCAACTTCCCCGGGAGCTCCTCGCCCCGCCGCAGCCTGCGCCAGCCCTGGGAGCGATGCGCCCCCAGCCGGGCGCCGCGCCCTCTGCCAACTCGCCACCCATGGGATCGACTGCCCTCGGCTGCCCCGCTTGGAGCGCTTAGCCTTCACCACGTAGCCGGGAGTGGAGCGAGATCACCAAGGTGTTTAGCGGATCCCGCGCGCCAGTCTGCTGGGGTCTCCTGCGTGGGCAGCGTCCAGACTCTGGGGTGAGTAGCCGGGTCGTGTCGGCGCCCTTTATCCCCAGTTAGGAGGAGATGGCGGGGAGACTATAGAAAGTTGAGTCTCCTGGCACCTAGCCTAGGATTTGACAGCGAAACAGAACATTGGGGCTCCCTATTCGATTACACCTCAGGGCTTCCCCGAATGCCTTCATTTCTAAACGAAGGGGAAAACCCCCTCTGCTTTCCAAGGAGAAACACGGCTCCTTGGAGTAGCCCCCGAGTGTTCCCCACGAACGTGCCATTTGAGGCTTTCTGTCGCCGGAGCGTGAAGCAGGCACCCGGCGTAAGCGCTTGGAGATCGCAGCCGCCTGGGCGCGCTGAGAGATCATGGGCAGCCAGCCCCTACGGGAGCCTAAGCACACTTCATTAAGGAGAAGCAGCCGCTGGAATATTAAGGAAGTGTGTCTGTGTGTGATTGGGAGCAGGGTAGGTAGCCATAGAAGAGGCATGAGTGAAATGTCTCCTCGCTGGCCGATCGGCTACCCTGGGTACCCCGCTCCGCGTGTGGGTTTGGGGGCTCAAGATGTGGGTCGGCCGGACAGAGTTCCAACAGGTGGCATACACAGGCTTCCTGTGGACGGCGCGGGGGAGGGGGAGGGAAGCCTTTGTCTCCCTGGCCCAGGCTGCCTCCTCTAGGGGCACATCTGAACATGGGTAAGGAAATGTGCTCTGCTCTCAGGCCCTGTTTGGGGTGAGTGTGTGAGGCATCCAAATGCCTCCCGTGGAAAACAGCGGCCTCATTGTGTGCGTGACTGAGGTTTCAACTTGCAGGCGACTGAGGAGCCATTCAGCTGGGGCGCCTAGACTTGGCTGGCCATGGGATGTGTGCTCAGGCCTTCCTCGGGTCCCTGGCAGAGGGTGTTCCAGCTTCCAGTGCTGGGCAGGAAGCCAAACCTCCGCGGTTTGCTCTCACACACTCCCCGTGGGGAGGGGGAGATGGCTGGAGTTGATTCTTTACCTCCTTCAGGATGTTTTACCCTGAGAATCATACTCAGGGGTGTGTGTGTGTGTGTATGTGTGTGTGTGTGTGTGTGGGAGAGAGAGAGAGAGAGAGAGAGAGAGAGAGAGAGAGAGAGAGAGAGGCATGCTGTGCAAACTAGAGAGAGACTAATTTTTGCTCCCATCCATGGAGATCTGACTTGGGAGAGAGCTGGTGTCTGTGCTTTGAGAAAGTTTCCTCTGAACTCCCCATTCTTTGGTGGCTGGCATTTGCAGAATTCCCTGGGCTCCCAGAGTGATGACACCCCAAGGAACATGTTCTGATATCTGTTGTATAAGTTGCCCATCCCTAGTTCCCATTTGTACACTAGGTACACTCATCTGTCTGTGTCTAGAGAAGAGGGACTTAGAGATGGCTATCAGGTGGGAAGTGTGGGTCAGCTGGGAGATGTTAGAAGGGAGAGAGGAGTTTGCCTAGCAGATACTCAGTTTTTACTTAGATTTTGTGTTTTGAGGTGCTTGGTTGTCTCTGAGATGGCTGAGATTTTGGAAAGTAAAGTTCCACTAAACCTCCTCCTCCTCCTCCTCCTCCACCACTGGCCCACCACCTCCCGGGGGGGTGGGGTGGCAGGAAGCTGTGGGCACCAATGGGTAGGTGGTGAAGTTCTGTCTGACATGCCAAAGCATCCTCTGCTGCCAGCCCTTGGTCCAGGCTCCCCCTCCAGGGGATATTCTGCTATAGGAGCTGTCCACCTTCCTGTTCCCAATTGCTAATCACCCCTGCTGCTTTCCAATCCAGGTGTAACTTCTCTCCGCACAAAAGCCCCTCACCAGGGCCTCAGGTAACAAACAGGCCATCCAGGTGCATCTAAGCAGAGTGAGCCTTCTGGGCTACACAGGGCACCCTGCTGCTGACCTGGCCTGGGTTGTGGGCTTGCCCTGAAGCTTCTTGTTGGGTTGTTGGGAGGAGTGTGAGGAGACCAGAGGCTAGGTCTTTGGCAGGGCAGAGTGACAGCTGGAGGTCCAGAGTTAGACGAAGGAGAAGGGAAGGGAGGTGGAATGGACTAACAGGCAGAAAAAGAAGAATCTGAAAGAGTCACAGAGACCTGAAGATGGAAAGAATACATGCCAGACAGCAGGCTGTAGGGGGTGGTGCAAAAGTAGAAGAGGAGCTGAGGGAAAGGAGGGGAAAGAAATCTGAAGAAAGTGGAATGGGAGGAAAGAACACAGGAAGGGAAAGTGCTGGGATGCCCCTGAAGAATCCTGGGATGGGGTGGGGGTGGGGGGTGGAGTCTGAGAATGGAAGAGCAAAGGCAGGGGACACTGGCTTTTGGTATATCAGTGTACCAACCATGGCAGCATTGTGAGGAAGTTGACATAATGCACATCCTTAAGTAGCCAGCCCTGGCTTAGCCTTCTTCCCCTGGGGAGTTGTGAATTATGCAGAAATTGGACCCTGGCTCTGAACCCAGCTGCATTGGAAAGGACAGAAATACAAGAAGTTTAGATTCCTGGTAAATGCACAGATGCACAAGGTTATTTGCTTTTGCTGTCTCTCCCCCTCCCCCCTTGGGTAATCACAGGGCTGGAGCATCAAGGGGAGAATTGTTTCATTAACCATATTTGCCAGTGGTTCTGGAAGCTCTGTTTATGGAAGAATTTCCCCTGAGCTTCTGAGATAAACAAATGGCTGTGCCTCCCCCAACCCCCCCCCCCAGTATGACCCAGCAGGAGGTGGGCTGTGCCACCTTAATGAGTGGCTCCCTGGCTTCCATAGCGGGCCATCTCTGTACTTCACTTTGATAAACATGACATGGATGGGATCACCCCCTTCTGGAATTTTTTCCTGGATTTCTCCTAAGAGACACAGTTGAACATCTCCCTATGGTAACTCATTCTCCACAGAAAAGCTCTTTTTGTGTAAATTTCTCTTGATAAAAGGGCAAGCCCAAGGAATGTGCAGCTGTGGTTACCTTCCCATGGACCTCATTAATTACATAGCTGCAGGAGACAGTGGACAGCTCCTATGGTTGACCTTGTGAGGATGTGCATGGCTAATGGGTGTGCAGTGCCTAGCAGCTGCCTTTTACACTCTGTATGTTACCCTCACAAAACAAACTCAGCCAAGAAATCTACCATAGACACCTCTGTTACCATCTGCATTCAATTGTTAGGGACACGGAGACTTAGACAAAGGACATTTGTTGTTCAAGAGGGATTTCCTCTTTCCCATGATCCACCAACTGGAAAGAGGCTGAACCCATTTCGGGGGACTCTTGGGTTGATGATCCCAGTGCCCAGTCCTAAGGCTGCCTTTCAGTGGTGGAGCCAGAGCTCTTTCACAAATGCGGCCCTTTGCAAGCTCTCTGCCCATTTGATCAATGGAGGAAGATGAGAAGAAAGTGGAGAAACCAAGAAGTCACTTATTACAGCCCACAATGAAAAGGTGCTGGATGGGGAGCCAGGGCCCTGAAATCTCGATTCTCAGTCCAGCTTTTCCTACCACGCCAATGGTATCACATCTGGCTGATTGTCAAGGTCACAAAAACAGCTTAGTCAAAACAAAATTCCTATACATTACCAGAGACCTACAGAATCAAAACCTTGGGAAAGTGGGCCAGAAAACTATCCCTCCTCCCCTAGGTTGGCACCTGGGCATGACCTTTTTACACCACCCCTCTCCCCTGCCCCCAGTAGCTCCTGTCAGATGCAATGAATCCTTTCCACCCAGAGGCAAGAGCAGGACTCAAAGCCCCTTTGTCTTCCAACAACGCAACACATACCTCAAGAGGAGCATGTGCCCTGTGGGGGGCACCCCCCCTGCTATGCCCAAGGGAGAGAAACACACTTGCTTGCTCAGAGGCAACTTTGAAAGCAAAATTCTGAGCTGTAGCAATCACATCTATGTTTGCTATCTTCAGTGTGTCTCACGCCAAGTTGGAAAGTGTTTAAGGAAACAGCAGAGGCTCCTTCAATGCATCAGTGTCAGTATCTGTACTGGTTCCTGCGCTAGGTCACTGTGTGTTGGCGTCAGGCTCCCCCTACCATCAGTGAATGGAGGACAGACCCCAGTCTCCCCTCCATGGTAGGTCTGTGACTCCTGTGGGTGCTTAGTGCCTTTGCTGCCGATAGAAGGAGGCACCGTTTGAGGTTCTCTCCACCCATGGACATTGTCTGATCAGTGACCTCAGTGTCTCCTCCATTCCTTTCATTGAAACGTGGCCAGAGGTGCCAGGTTTCGTGTCCAGTGAGCCATTTTGTCATCTTTCCCTTCACAGATCCAAATTTGTTTTCTGAATTTGTTGCTTTTAACCTTGACCTCTTATTCAAGGGATAGTAGTTGAGCCTTAGGTGGCTCTTTTAGGCAACTGTGGGCTCCCTGTGTTTCAAATAACCACAGCCCTTTGTGAAGAGCACACCAACAAAGGAATAAATTGCATTTACAATGTCTGCACTTTAACATGCTGGGAATGTGTTGCCATCTCAGTGGTGAAAACTTACTTTTCCGGCTTGGCTGGCAGAGGAGTAGCAGTGTGGGACTTTTAGTGGCTGAGACCTGGGCTGGTCCAGCAGACACATGGGGTTCACAATCGGCCTCCACTGGCTAGCGAACTTGACCTAGTCTGACCTGTGTTCTTTATGTGGTTGTGGGGTAATAACATGACGGCCCTGCTGTATGTGCTGCTGGGACTCAGCCAGGCAGTGCCTCAGTGCTGAGAGACACACCAGTTAGTTTCTACATGTTAAACATTTGGTGTGAAGCTGCAGTTGACTGAGGAAAACACTGACATCAGGATGGCTAAGCAACTTGACCAGGTCACTCACATCCTAAGCAACGACTGGAGACTCAAAATCTAGCTCTCTCCTTTAAACCCCCCACCTCTGCACCCGACCATTGCTGCCTCTGTATGCATCTCTGTTCCTGGCACTTGAAGACAGTGTTGCATATAAAACATTTTGATTTGTATTTTAATTACACCCATTACAAAGAATGTCAAATAGAACTAATCTAAAATGGGATTTTTGAATTTTGGGGAATTGTTTGT